ATATGGGTCGTATTAAGCTTATCACATAAAACATAGTTGGTTAAGATGTGAATGAAAGGAAACAAACTGCAATTACTCTCAGTGATGACTACTTTGATCATTTAATATATTACAATGTTTCTCTTTCTAGACATAGTCAGTGTTGCTCATGCTAAATTTGGTTCCTATCTAGCTTTATGTGTGAAGCTCAGTTGGAAAAGTGTATTAGTTTCTAAAGACCATTGTGGGTTTAGAAGGTTTTCAAGCCTGACCCTTTTGGGGTTTTACTTTTGCAGTTACTATAGTTATCACATTCTTTCCAGGAATTCATATTTAAGACTTTTTTCTCTTTTTTTTAGCTTCTTGTGTTGGACATGTTTTCGGATTGGATTCTCTCCATACCAGTTTTAGAGGGTAGTCCTGGTGGCGAGGTTCCTGAATTCAACTGTGGAATACATAGCATTGAAATAAGTCCTCAAAAAACATTATTAGCCACAAGTGGTCAAAATCCAAATCATCTAGCAGTCTACAGACTGCCAACATTTGATCCAGTCTGTGTCGGAGAGGTATGTATTTCTGACTATCTCTTTTCATTTTGGGCCAAAAAAACCAGACAGTCCTGATCATGGAAAATAGGTGGGATCCAAGATATCCCTTTGTTGTATAGTAGTGACAATATGGTGAGTCAAGCTATGATATTTAGCTGTTATTCACAGTTATCATAATGGATATTACCTCAACCTTTGGAATAATGATATTGTTACATTTTACTTATCTTCAAGGGACACACTGACTGGGTGTTTTCTGTGGAATGGATTGATGATTTTCATTTAGCAACAGGTAAATTTATGACAAATTTTGCATTAGAAAAATAGGACAAATATTGCTCATAATCAGATAGCTCACATTTCTCATATATTTGTGTAGTATATTGCAACAGTTAAGGTGGCTCTTAAATTTAATAGAACAAGCAATTTCTGTAATTTTTTGTCTTTCTGAGCTGCCATCATTACATTTTATTTGTCAACATCACAGTCATAAGTGGAGCTTTCTGCTTACTTCAGAAGCCTAAGGAGAGTTTCCATGACTATAATATGAGCTGTTTCTTTAGGGTCAAGAGATGGTAGCATTGCCTTGTGGTGTATTCAAGATCCCGCCAGTCAGTCAGGAGACAGAAGTCAGTTAAAACTGTTTATCAAGCATCCTGCAAGCAAACTCCAAAGTACTTTACCCCATTTGTTTGGTAAAGACAAGATCAGGGATATTGTTTATGATAGAAACTCCCAGGTGATTTTGATTTGATAGGTGTTGCAAAGTAAATAGAAGTAACAAAAATTGTAATTATAGTGAAAAGGCAAAAACTTGGTGTAGCTCCCTTCCAAAGGCTGTTCAGCACTTGTTTCAAGTTTCAGAAAATAGAGAGGAGTCAAGTCTTGCATTATGAGTTTCAAAAGCTGCTATTGTCAGTTTGAGGAAAAATATAATTGCAAATAGTTTGTGCAATCTTTGGAAGCCTAATGGTTATTACGCTGAACTTTAGATGTTGAGCTTTGAGCCCTTTCTGGATTAGTGTGGTGTCTCTTGGGTAGGACCACCAATTGATATTGCCTCTCTCTAACCAAATATTTACATGGGTAACGGTTTAGACGGCCATACCATCCCTTGAGTAAGCTTAGGTGGTCTGAGATTCTTTAACCCTTTAAATCCCAAAGTCTAATTGCTAATTCTTTCCTCTAGCTGCTACACAATTCCTTTTGACTTAGTTACAAGAATTTGGTGTTAAATCAAGAGAACAACCTCCACATGATAAGTTTGTGTATTCTCAATACCTGTTTTGTGGATGATGTACGGATATTGTAGGAAGAAGTTACATGTTAATCAGTTCTGGGAATTTAAGGGCTAATCCTAAGCAATCAATAAAAGTCAATAATTCATTTGTCTTATTTTCTCAGACTCTCATTTCCTTATCTTCACGTGGCTATGTACATCTCTGGGACATGAACAACTGCCAAGTGGTGGGTCCTTTTTGAAATTATTGCACCAATTTATTTGATATGATTTCAGTTATTTTAGAGTGATGTTCTCAGTCAGAGTTCTAATGACTCCTTGTAATTGACCTTTGTCTGAGCAGGTATTGTCCATGCGATAATTTACGACATCTTCCTCTTTTTTGTTTTACTTAAGAGAAGTACTTACTCACTGAAGTATCCAATGGAAACAGTATGTCTTGCACTGGAGAGAGACAACAATTTGTTTGCAGTTGGTTCACAGTCACATGTTTCATTTTATGATCCAAGGTCTGGGACTGCTGTAGGATACATAGGATCACGTGACCCAGGAGCAGGTGAGTCGAGGAGGGGTGGGACAGAAACCTTAAGTTTGGAAGGGGTTCTGGAAACCTGCCTTTCTCTCCAGGCTGCTTAATCAAAGCAATCGAGTCTCGAAGCACTGATCAATATTACTGCTTTGGCTTGCCTACTACTTTGTTCTTTTGTTGTTTACCTTGCTCAAACACTGTGAGATTGAAAAAAAATTCTTTGGTCATTGCAAGTAGTTGATAAAAGCACAAATTTCTTTCATAGGTGTGCGTTCATTGAGTTTCCGAGATCTATTGCTGACTGTTGGTACCGGATGCGGGTCTCTATTTTTCTTCGATATGAGAGCTTATAAATTCCTCAGAAACGCAGAAAGCACAATGATCTGCTTTAAATCAGGAAAAGGCTGGCTGGTAAGAAAGTCGACAATGTTCTCTGTTGCAAGCTTAAATTTAAAAGAGGCTTAAATTTATAGAAAACCGCTTCAAGTTGGGCACAGACACAAAAAAACAAACACATTGGGGTTGGTAGAGTTAGGAAACGAACAGACTGGTTGTGAGACTTAGTGAGCAGGCCGCGAAATCAGACGTAAGCGTCAGAAGTCGGACAGAAGCATCAGAAACGAGTTAAAACTGTTCGAAATCCGATGGAAGTGTCTGAGATCGGCCGTTTCCGTCCAATATTGGGCTAAAGTACGCTAATCGACACGGGATCGTCTGAAATTTGACGGGAGCATCCGAAGTCGGCAGGAACCGTGCGAACGGAAAAACGGATATGAGTGTGCAGAATCGGACTGAAGTGCCTCCAATCGAGCTTAAGGGTGCTAAATGGGCCAAAGTGTCCTCAGTTGATCGGAAACGTGGAGATTCTTCTTAACTAATTTTCTTTTGTTTGCTGTTTTTAGCGGGAAGAGTTTCAGGATCCATTGGATGATTATGTGTTGGAACATGCACTTGTCTGTCGGAGCAATGCTGTCTACACCCACTGTTATGATCCAACTGGTACTAAGCTCTTCGCGGCCGGAGGGCCACTTTCTCTCGTCTATTATGGTAACTACGCAGCTCTTTGGGAGTAGCATCAGGTACGACATTTCACCGAGTGATTCCCCTCTTGCCTTGTCAACGGGGTAATGTTACCGATCACCTGTGATGTATCTACATCCGGAAACGTTATGGACCTCTGTATCCATAGTGACCTGAGCTAACAAACAACGCGGTGCTACTTGGAGACTAAAACACTTCATGAACCCTCGAGCTTGCAATGACTGGAAAGGACTGTTAGCTGAAACATGCCAACCCTGACTTGACTCCTTAAATTCCTTGAATTTTAGAAGAAAATAATAATTTACAAATCAGGTAAATTATTAGGAAGAAGATCAAGTCTACAGTATAATACTTCCTCAAGACAATCGTGTGTTCGAAATTTCTCGTGTTATATTCAAAAATACTTAAGTGTATATAAAAAATGGGGATATCAAAGCTACAGGTTTCAACTGAGTGTTGAACGCGATCCCAGATTGTGAGGTACTGCTTACGTTTTCGCTCTGTGATTGGTCGAAGTTGCAGAATGCTAAAAAATCAGATTTATAGTTACATGAAAGTATGGCCTTATCGAACACCCTCAATAAATGTATGTATTGTAAATAAAGGCCATTGGCCTGATTAGGGCAAGAGAAGGATGCCAAAAATCTATAGAATAAATTTTGGGAAATATGCTACTATGTGAGTGTAAATATTGGAATAAAAGGTAGAATATTTCCGTTTGTCGTTGTCGTGACATCAAGTAAATAAACCCCTTCAGGCAGCTGGTATGTCGGCTGATAATATCTGCGGCTGAGATATTGTCCGGAAAATAAATATTTGGCCGAGAAGCAAATCTAAAATTTTGAGATCAGCTTTAAAATACCATTATCACTAGACTTATCAAAACGAGTTCGTATTTCTTCCATGTAATGCAATTAAGATGAAGAAGTAAAACTCTTGAGTCACTCCTGAAACTGTACTGCGCATCAGCTACAGACAAGGACGCACGTTTGCACCAAGATATTTGAATAATGACTGGATTCGATAAAAGGATGCGTATACTCACAAAGAGCTTATGTCATCGCGTGATATTAACATTAATAGTCTGACTGAAATTTGTGCGAAAAATGTCGACGATTGTTGTCTTATACAGGTCCTGTTTGTCTTAAGGAGACGATGGATTTGCTAGCCGTGGGAGCTTCTGTGTTTGAACCAAAACTGTTGGAACGTTTGATCTGGCTGAATGTTCTGATTGGAGAAACCGTTCTAATCCTCAAGATGTTACTGCTCACTTAATCTTGGGGTAATGCTACAGAAAATCCTGTTGTTACGACTTTCCAAACTAGTACATGGCCTTAAATTTCCTAGTTTACTACCTCGTCAATTTCCCGACCAATTTTCAATCGACACAGAAGGAATCAGGAAATAAGTGGGTATGTGTAAGCTGTTGACAAGATTACACCCAACAATCATCCTAACTCTGTCATGGCCTATTAAATTTTGCCTTCTGGTATTTTCCTTTTAAAGCAAACTACTAAGTCATTCTCGTCGAGTAGATACAAATAAAAATACAATAAAATTTTCACCAGTTCCTTTGTGTTATCGGTGGAACTTTAATTTGGCTAGAATTAAAATCAGATGAAATCTTACAGAGTCCGCAAATTTCGGATTTTGATCAGCGGTCTCCAGATGCGCCAAACTCGCAAAGCATCCTAGTATCTTCCTCTCTCTCCTTCTCGTCGATTCAAGATGGTGGGTTGCTAAACTTTTGACAACAATCCAGAGTCATCGTTGTTGAATTTCCCTCTATCTTTTCGAATTAATAATTATTTTAAAGATGCGTAACCATTCTCCCTAACTGGTTGATTTTCTTAGCCATTGATACTCAGCACATGTGATTAAAGTTGTGTTGCATTTCACCAACCTTTTGATAGCACGAAGCCAAATAACTATTAAAGGAACATTATTTTCCTATGCTATGGCAAATTTAGGTGTCGTTGGTTAAAGTTAATTCATTATCTATGTTGATCAGGGTTATTTACTTGAAATTTTGACCTTGTCAAATCACAAATTTTTTAGCAAGATCATTTTCTCATTCGATTTACATCGTACGCCTTAAATGTGGCAGCACTCTCTTTGATGAAGGTTTACAGATTTTATGCATTTGCATCGCATTTGCTAAATTTCACTTAACGTGCAAGCATCGGACCTTTATGGAAAGGTTCGGACTGAATGATATTTTTAGTAGCCGAAATTTTGTCGATGAGTTGTACCCGGTATTGACTCCAAACAAATGGCAGTTGGTGAAATCAAATCTGTGCATCAAATCCTAAGGAAGCTAAGGTTAAATTATTTTCGGCATCCAGGTAGTTTCTCTTGTTAATTCTAATTGTGATCAGTGGCATACAATTACATTTACAGCTGTAGCATACATAATTTTCGTGGTAGTTTTGTGTCATTCCACGACATACTGAAGTTTTGTGTTAACGACGAGTGTTGTCTCCCCCTTCAGGGCCGAGTAAGGACCAAGACTGTAAAAAAGGCCGCAAGGGTTATCATTGAGAAATATTATCCACGTCTGACTCTTGATTTCCACACCAACAAGCGCGTTTGTGATGACATTGCGATAATTCCAAGCAAGAAGCTTAAGAACAAAATTGCTGGGTAAGACTGTTTGCTATATTGTGGAGTCTAAGAAGCATTCTGCAAGATGCATTCTACACTGCTGTGCGTTATGTTATGAACTTACCAGAAAAATGTGCATCATTTCATAGGACTCAAATTATAGTGTTCCAATTGGTTGTATATATAATGAACAATTTTTTCATTCACATTCCCAATTTTTTGTGTATGCTATTGTATTGACCAACACTGAGAAGAAACTCTCTCTCTGCCATTTTCTCAAAAAATTATTTTGATATGCATAGTAAATTTGTTGTAAGATTTATATATTTGTTTTTGGGGAGGGGGGTCTCGTGGTTATTGGAACTAGTAAATTTGATTCTCGCCTTCATAGCATTAATGTTGGTACAGTATATCTGCTTTTTGTTTTTGTATCATACTCTCACTTTTGCACCTGCACCAGAAGTAAAAGTGACTGTTCTCTTTACTGGTGTGACTCTTTTGTATGTTATGGGACAGATTTGTTACCCATCTCATGAAGCGTATTCAGAAGGGTCCTGTTCGTGGTATTTCTATCAAACTGCAAGAGGAAGAACGTGAACGAAGGGACAATTATGTTCCTGAGGTGAGAGAAATTTGAAACTAACAGTCTGCATGTGGCTAATGATTAGACATACTCTTGAGAAAATTTAGAGGGTGGAGTTATAGAATGGACATTTTTCATGGTACAAGTTGAAATCAGCATCCAAATTTTCTTCTCTCACTGCATGTGTTTGCATCTTAGAAAGGAGTGTAGTCTTATTTTCCAAAAAACATGTATATTACATATGTTACATTTAATTGATAACAGAGGAAAAGAAGGCTTTTTCTTAAATGGGGGTATATTGGCAGGGTGGGCCAATTCTTGCGAGATGTGTTTGTTTGACTTAAAAATCATATTCATTCTTTAGAGTTATATTAATGTTTTCTTTTGTGGTACTCAAGCTTTTTGCTTGGAAGGAATCTTGAGGCTTACTCAGTGATTTTTCACTTGTGTTAGGTGTCTGCTATTGAGCAAGATATCATTGAAGTTGACCCAGATACCAAAGAAATGTTAAAAGTATTGGTAAGTTCAACTTTAACACTAAGACTGCTCAAACAGTCCCACTATTATTACTTTGTTGGGCATTGTGGCACATTTTGTGAGCTAAAATGGAGATTGTGGCTGGTAAGAATGTATTTTAGCCCACTTGTATGTTCATAAGATTGTTCAGACTGTTTTTTTTCCTATTCATATTCTCATTCATATTCTCTTGAAGTGATAATAATAGTAATACAGTCTATGTCCTCTGGCACAAATATGTTTGGGGCCCTTCTCAGAGATTGTTGTATCCCTCACCTAATGGCTTGGGCTGAAATTGTCACATCAGGCCCCAAACATGTTAATGCTTCTAAACATACTGTATTTACTCATGTATAAGTCAACGAATTACGGTCAACTCGCCGACGGACCAACTCGCCGACGCCAACTCGCCGACGTATAAAATCGAGTAGAGACGTCGGCTAGTTGGTCATCAATCCAATACAACTTATTAGAAGTTAAACATACAGAAAAGTAAACGATATTTAGTAAAAAAACACTGGTGAACATTGGTGAACATCAAACAGAAGCTTAAACATCGGTGAACATTGGTGAACATGTTTTCTTAAAAAATCTGAGCGATTGACATGATGAGTCTTTACGGTATTGTTCGCGTCTGAAGCGGATATAGTAATTGGTGATGTTTACTTTACTTTATTCGCCTTGAGATCCTTATAAACTTTGTTGCAAATAAAAAGAAATGCTTTTTACTAAAGATCTTGTCTAGAAAGCCAAGTTTTCTTAAAAAATCTGACTGATTGTCACGATGAGTCTTTACAGTGTTGTTGTCACACAATAACTCGTTCATGTTTGAAGCTGTTAGAGTCATTGGTGATGTTTACTTCGCTTTATTCGCCTTAAGATCCTTATAAACTTTGTTGCAAATAAAAAGGAATGCTTTTTACTAAAGATCTTGTCTAGAAAGCCAAGTTTTCGTTGAAAATCTGAGCGATTGACATGATGAGTCTTTACGGTGTTGTTGTCACACAATAA